TAACAGTAGTAACAACAATGGCAACACTAGCAGCCGTAGTAGTAACAGTAGTAACAACAATGGCGACACTGGCAGCCGTATGGTGTAAAAGAGCTGTGTAGACGTGTGGAAGTGCAATGCTGCGCGAGATGTCCTCGAGCTTGAATTAGGGATAATCCATAATTGACAATCACGCTTCGATTAGGGATAATCCCTAATGCAAGGCAGGGTTGCTGCTGTCATGGCGGACGACGGTCGCAAACGTAAGAAAAAGCAGACTTGTAAGCCGAAGTCGAAGCGGTAGCGGCGCTTGATCTGCTGGGGCGATATGGCGTGTGGTAAATTCGTCGTCCAGTGCTTTCTGCATTTGCCTTTTATCTAAAGCGCTTGCCAGCTCCTGAAAAAACATCCTTACAAGTCTGCTTTTTCTTACGTTTGCGACCGTCGTCCGCCATGGCAGCAGCAACCCTGTCTTGCATTAGGGATTATCCCTAATCGAAGCGCGATTATCAATTATGGATTATCCCTAATTCAAGCTCGAGGACATTCTGTGCTGCGAGGCAGGCGCGAACAGCATTCGTGTGGTCTGCTCATACCTCGACTCACAGGCACTTGGGGCGTTTCAATAAAATATAATGCTAAATAAATACGAAATCTATTTACTACCAAAGTCTTAATGTTTCTATACTCTCTTTCGCGTATTATTGCTATATTTATGTGTCAGTGTGCAGCAGCGTGCGTGCGGTGGACATGTGTGTTGCAGAGGAGCATTTGCACGGAATTTACAGGAAATTGTCGGCAATAATAGGCGAAAGAAAGTAGAGAAACACTGAGACTTTGGTAATAAATAGATTTCGTATTTAGTTAGCATTATATTTTATTGAAGCGCTCCAAGTGCATCTGCCTCGACCCGTGTCGTCTCTACCCGGACATTCCTTCTGGCATCTGTAACCGTGTGTTGGTAGGTGCCTAGGTTGCATTAGTTGATCCAAATCGAAGCCAGAGCAGTAGTACTGTCAGTAGTAGTAACAGTAAAGGATCTGCGCATACAAAAGCAACAGTATCAGCACTAGTAGTAGTAGCAGTAGCAGTAGCCGTTGCCGTAGCAGTAGCGGTAGCAGTAGCAGTAGGTGTAGCCGTAGCAGTAGCGGTAGCGGTAGCGGTAGCTGTAGCAGTAGCAGTAGGTGTAGGTGTAGCAGTAGTACTATCACTGGCAGTAGCAGTGGCAGTAGCAGTAACAGTAGCAGCAGCAGCAGCAGCAGCAGCAGCAGCAGCAGCAGCAGCAGCAGCAGCAGCGGCAGCAACAACAACAACGTCATCATCAATAACAACAAACAGCAACAAACAACAAACAGCAACAACAGCAACATCAGCAGCAGCGACAATGTAACAGTAGTATTGTAGCAGGTCACCAGTCGACTTCTGCTACTTACAATCTGAGCTTACATCCACCTAAAGCTTACTCGCAGCTTGAGCTCAGCATGCGACTGCAGCTCCAATCATTAGGCATTACTGTAGCATTTTGTACTATGTGGGTGGTACTCGCCCACTTCCCGCATTCGTATGAAACGAACGTATGCTATCGTATGTGGTTTCATTCAGCGTATTTACGTATTCACAATACGTGTTGCGTCTGTTGGGATTATAGTCGCATAACGCGAGCGTGAATTGTGTCAATATACGATCTAAAAAACATTATTCACCTACGATCAAACACACCGATGTGCACGTGTGTAGGTGACAGTAGGCGCTATCTATAGACCATCCCTTCATATAGGGATAGGGGACACATTTTATATAGGGAGGACACGTGCAGAGATCAGAGACAGAGAGTGTGGCCACCACACGCATCTCGGCTACGCAAGAGCGAGACAGAGAGAGAGCGAGAGAGTGAAAGTGAGAGTGAGAGTGAGAGAGAGAGTGTGTGCGCGTGCGCGTGTGTGTGTGTTTGTGTGACGTCTGACGTGTGTGTGTGTGTGTGTGTGTGTGTGTGTGTGTGTGTGTGTGTGTGTGCGTGCGTGCGTGCGTGCGTGCGTGCGTGCATGCGTGCGTGAGAGACCGAGCTCTAGCGAGAGAGAGGGAGCCATTGTTCGATCATAGTTGAAATATTTGATCGCCACAGAGATATGTGAGACAGCTGCCATTGCGATGCGCTCGGTTTCTGAGTGATTTTGTTGCTTTGATGTCCTTACCATGCAAATTGACAACAGCGATCTATAAACACCGCCTTCGTGAAATATTGATGCTCGCGGAAAATAGCGCGAACTACGTGAAACAATATACGCAGAGGGTTTTTTTGTGCGTTTGTTTCACAAACAACCCTATTACGCTGATGGACATGGTTGTGTGGTGTGCGTTATTTGGCGGTGCAGATAGTGGCTAACCTCAAAATTTCAAGCGGATGCCTCGCCTATCGTTCGTCCTCGCGTGTCCACTTCGTTTACTTTCATTTTCTATCCGCCTCGCTATGCATTTCCTCAAGAGCACATACTCTTGCAAAGAATAGAGTTGATATGCTATTGACTTTATCTCAGGCGCGTGATAAATCTGTGTGTATGCCAGCATCCGTACCTGCATCCATACCGTAACACTATGATAGACATCGGTCTGGTTTGCACGCAAAGCTCAGCGTGTGATGTGCTGCGGCTATGTGCAGACTGTTGTATATCAGGACGCTCACCAGGCGTCATGTGCCTCGATTTTACGTTATCAAACCAGTTATTTACACAGTTATTTTGATATCAATCTGTAGACTGACTTCAAGTGTTCGCGTGGCTGAGCACAATAAATGTTTTCAACTGTATTAATTCTCAGCGACTTTAGAAGTCGGTCGAATGAAGTTGTTTATTACCAAAACGATCGATCAGGACGGAGTCAGAACTGTTCATCGCTCACACGCACGCGCGCACACACACCACGCTCACACGCACGCGCGCACACACCACACACACACTCACGCGCGCACGCACCACACACCAGTGAAAAAAAACCGGGGCTCTTTTTCCAACTCCTCAAAAAAATTCGGGGGCTACTTTTTCAATTTTCCGAGGCTATTTTTTCCACTTCGGGGGCTTCCGGGGGCTACTCTTTTCCGAGGCTACTTTTTCAAATTTCGGGGGCTACTTTCTTTGCACTTGAATAAAACAACAAGATAAGTTGTTGAATAGCAGGCCTGTTTTTATAGTTTCTGCCTAGTTCATATCGCCCAATCACAAATATGTTGTGTATTTATTGTATAGTTATTGAACGAACTGGATTAAATTTGAAATAAACCTTTTTACCAGACAACTTCAGTACTTCACCCAGCTGTTTGTCATGGCATTGCATGCAGCATCACACTAAACATTTTCAGCATCACACTGTTGCACAGGCTCGCAATAAACAATAGTTACAATACCACGCGCGTGACCGCTGCAATATGGTGTGATGCGATGTATGCGTACTATACGGTAGTTTGGGGCTCGTATGCGAGAGAACTTTACGCGTAAAAATATAATTCGAGTCTTCTGCATATAAAGGGAATGTGTGTCGTTTTTGTTCTAGTTTATGTTTGTGTTCGTGCATCGTGGAACGGTTAGCACTCGTCATTGGTCCAGTGCATTGTAGCGCGTAGTGGAATAAATCGATATCATCAGAAGTAGATATAAAAGAGAAAACCCCATAATATACACCTCAGATAACAACACACACAGCTCTGCGTACGTACGTATCAGTGTTCGAAATATAGTTAATGACCCTGTGACCTTGACCTTGGGTAGAAGTGGCTCAGAATCAATAAGGTTCTCTCGCCCCATAAGGGTGCAACTGTGGACCAAGTTTGAAGTTTCTACCTCTTACGGTTGCAAAGATATCGAGCGGACAGACATACACACCGCCACATACACGAAACCGAAACGGCCACGAAAACAATATCCTCCGCGGCACTGCGTGCGGAGGATAACTGCTTGTACTTCGTCGAGTAGACGTGTTCGTATGGTTAGCCTGTGTTGTGAGTTTAGCGTGTATTGTGTGTGCGTGTTGACAGTATTGTGAGTACGCGGCGTTGTGTTTTACGTTTGGAGCTTTGTTTCGATATTAGTTCAATAAAGTGTAGTTTATTGATGGAAGAACAGTGATTTTCGTCAGCGAGGCGGTGTTTTTGGATAAATTTCTGCGTGGCGGCTGAGAATTTGAGTGAGGCGGCCGCCTCGCTCGTGTCAATGCAGGGAAAACGCTGCGTGTGCATGCATATATGCGGGAATGATGCGATTGGGATCGCAAACGGTTGGCTGGCTAGTCAAGCGTACGCAATCGCTATTGCAACTGCATAGCCGAGACAAACATTGCGGGTTTTGCAGCAGTTTTGCAGCTGTGGCTGGCTTGTGTAACCAATGATAATGCCTTGACTTCGAGGCGTGCAATTTCGGGGGCGATTTCGAACGGTTTTCTTTTTAACTGTCGCCCCCGTAATCACATTTTCGGGAGCTCTTTTTGGAACTTCGGGGGCGATTTCGCCCGCCGCCCCCGTGTATTTTATTCACTGCGCCACACACACATACACGCGCGCGCGCGCACACACGCGTGCGCGACGCGCGTGCATGAACGTATGCAGACGACCAGCAAAGAACGTGCACACGTTCGCAAACACACGTCAACGTCGTACGCAACACGCACGAAAGAATGCGCGCACGCATGCACACACTCACGCGCGCGCACACACGCGCGCGCGTGCATGAACGTATGCAGACGACCAGCAAAGAACGTGCACACGTTCGCAAACACACGTCA